GTAAACACCATTGTCTGGTTTAATTTGAAGTTTACCTTAGAAATTGAACAAATAGAGTGTTGTATCTCACACGTAATTGAGAATATTTGTAGTTTTAAATGGAGACTTATCAACACGAATACAAATGAATAGGATTAAAGTGGGTACAAGAAACTGATTGAGAAACCAAAAGACCATACTTGGAGCACTCTGTACGGTAAATAGTTATAATTACATGTAGTGTTTTAAAAGACACTGTTGGGACTCACTCTGGGGCAAGGCTCTAGCAAAACGCCCCGAGACTCAAGTGTGGGGGCTTAGTTCTGTAAGACTTATGCCCTAAGCACGCCCAACGCCTAACGCTCGGGGCTCGCATAACAGATCTTATACAAATTATGTGTTAAATTCTTTAGTTAACATTGTTGACCTTCATAATTCTTGAATAAATGAATGATACTTTATAGTTTTTTAATCTATAGAAATAAGAAAATTGAGAGTAACTCAAATAACAAGTTGTAGTATCACATATTTACTATTTGGTAATACTGTGAGGGTGATTATATATTGTGTAATATTTCTTTTAAAAATACATAGCTAAATTTTATTTTTTCACTTATCATTGGTCGTCATGTTTTTGTTATACTCCCCAAAATTATCATATTTTATTTAAAATTTATTTTTATTCATGATGGAGTGATGTTTTTATTATAATACTAATAAGTTTTATTGATTAATTTTGGGAAAAAGGTCTGAAATATATCTGAATTTTGACCGAAATTGTTGTAACAATACCGAACTTTGAAAAAGACATTTTACCCCCTGCACTATTTAATAATATATTTTAAAGGTATATATGTGCCCACGTGGACATCATAAGTATTGCATCATTATAAATAGTAATGTGTCCGCGTGGACACATATATACCTTTTAACTACACTATTAAATAATGCAGGGGGTAAAAGGCCCTCCATAAAGTTTGGTATCGTAATAGTAATTTCGGCCAAAGTTAAAGTATTTTTCAGATCATTTTCCCGTTAATTTTCTTTTAGGGGATAAATTGTATGGTATGATAACAATATATCTTTAGAAATAATGATTCTTTTTCTACTTATATATAAGAGTGAGTTTATGATGGGACATTTGAATGTCCCATCATAAACTCCCTATATATTCTACTTATAAATCATTTTTTCTACTATATAATATATATAATATATATTTATTTTCTAAGGGAGTTTATATAATATAATATATAATATAATAATATATATATATAAAATATATATGTTTTGAAAAAGATACAAAAAATTCCATTGATTCTTGAAGTTAATCTATCGTAAAAATACTATAAATCATGATAATTGACAACATAAAATATTTCAAAAATAAATACATTTAAAAAAATTCGATTGATTCTTGAAATTAATCTATCGTTAAAAATTATGTATAAAATACAATAAATCGTGATAATTGACAACTTAAAATATTTATTAAAAATGCACAAAAAAAGAAATTAACTGATTCTTAAAATTAATCTATCAATGTCACATAAAATGAGACAAAAGTAGTAATATGTATTATTTAATGTCAAATTACTGAAAGCTACGTAAAATGTATTGTAAATCTTAACAATTAACAACATTTGTTTAACTCTTGAAATTTTATCTATGCTACATACATTGAGACAAGTGGAGTAATATATATTAAGTATTTACAAATTACGTAAAAATATTATAAATTACATTATTAACAACTTAAAATATTTAAAAATCATATTAAATTTAAATAACTCACTATATTTTATCTGTGTCACATACATTAGGACAAAAAATAATAGTTATTGGGCCCGTGCGTAAGAGAGTTTATGCCCAAGTATAATATATAATATTCAATGACTCTCCAAATTTCATTTGTGTCACATAAATTGAGACAACAAAAATAACATATATTGGGTCCATTTTAATTTATTTGTCTTATTTTTTTAAATTTTTTATATTTAAAAATTGCGTAAAAATACTATAAATCATGATAATTGACAACATAAAATATTTCAAAAATAAATACATTTAAAAAAATTCGATTGATTCTTGTAATTAATCTATCGTTAAAAATTATGTATAAAATACAATAAATCGTGATAATTGACAACTTAAAATATTTATTAAAAATGCACAAAAAAAGAAATTAACTGATTCTTAAAATTAATCTATCAATGTCACATAAAATGAGACAAAAGTAGTAATATGTATTATTTAATGTCAAATTACTGAAAGCTACGTAAAATGTATTGTAAATCTTAACAATTAACAACATTTGATTAACTCTTGAAATTTTATCTATGCTACATACATTGAGACAAGTGGAGTAATATATATTAAGTATTTACAAATTACGTAAAAATATTATAAATTACATTATTAACAACTTAAAATATTTAAAAATCATATTAAATTTAAATAACTCACTATATTTTATCTGTGTCACATACATTAGGACAAAAATAATAGTTATTGGGCCCGTGCGTAAGAGAGTTTATGCCCAAGTATAATATATAATATTCAATGACTCTCCAAATTTCATTTGTGTCACATAAATTGAGACAACAAAAATAACATATATTGGGTCCATTTTAATTTATTTGTCTTATTTTTTTAAATTTTTTATATTTAAAAATTGCGTAAAAATACTATAAATCATGATAATTGACAACATAAAATATTTCAAAAATAAATACATTTAAAAAAATTCGATTGATTCTTGAAATTAATCTATCGTTAAAAATTATGTATAAAATACAATAAATCGTGATAATTGACAACTTAAAATATTTATTAAAAAACAGAAAAAAAATTGACTGATTCTTAAAATTAAATCGTGATAATTGACAACATAAAATTGTTCAAAAATGTTGTATGTGGGTAGTCTTATTGTGCCTTGAATAGCGTCAAAGAAAGTACAGGTTTGTGATAAAAAAACTTATTCCTTTATCCACGCAAACAATCGCTTCAAAAATTTCGTTATTATCCCCAAAACATACCATTTCTGTTATTGGGCCCACAAAATCTAGTATTATTAGAAAGTTAAGATATTATATTATTTATACTTGTTTAATCATGTTAGAAGTTTTATTTTCTATGAGTTTCCTTGATCATATTTGTAATTATATTGATATATTTTTATAATTTTGTGTTATTATATTATTATACTATATATTGTATATTAAAATGTAAAGATCTATAGGGATAGCGCCTCGCCCTATGCTAAGTAAAACGCCCCACCTCACGCCCCGGCCTTTTAAAACACTGATTATGTATAATTGACATGGTAGGCGTTTGTATATGTAATTTTATTTTGTGATTTGAAGTAACGAGATAAAATTAGTGTTAAGACATGTTAAGACATGTCATTTTATCTTATCAGATGAATTTTCAAATTCTTCAAAAAGCTTGATTTGAGAATTTCATATCATAATTTCACATTTCTCAAATACAAAAAATGATCTATAAGTTTATATTCCGTAAAAAAAAAATCCATCATTTTATATCTATATAATTTTTTGCTAATATGTCAAAATATTCACGGCATATGAATATGATGATATAGTTACTAATGATATTGACCAACAAACAACTCAATAAATATAGTACCTACAGTTCATACTCAATTTTACTTTTTTTTTTAATTGAACTAAATAAATGGTGTACTTTTTTTTAGAAAATCTTTATGACAGTGTATTATACTTTTGCTATGAACTTTTGCTTGTTTGGTAAGGTTGTATAAATAATATGAGCAAATTTGCCAGTCTTCACAACTTATGAGTTTTTTTTATGTTAGTGACAATCAGGGGCGGCTCAACATAATTCGAGGCCTAAAACAAAATTTTAATTAGAGGCCTAAAATTTAAATAAATTTTATCTGTATTTATTTATTTTTCTAAATTTTTAGATGTAAATTACTACTTAATGTCTTTTTTATAAATGATTTTTTCAAATAATTTTTTTAATTATTATTTTTAGAAAGGATTTTGTCAATTCAACATTGAAAAGAATTATTTTATTGAGACAAATATTATATGAATCGATAACATAGTTCTATAAGTAATAAGTTGATAAATTTTAAATAAAGATAAGAGTTAGAATCATAGAAAATGATTCAAAAAGATGATAACTTGGTGTACCCTACTTTAATATGAGAAGTTACGAAGAAATAAAAAAATATTTGTAATTTACTTTGTTCAGCACTTTTCAGCTATTTATTCATATTTTTTGATAGAGTATTACTCTAACTATCAAAGATTTGAAGAAATAGAGTGCAGAAGGAGTTAAAAAGGATAAATAATGTGAGTGTTCTTTAATATGAGAAGTTACGAAGAAATAAAAAAATATTTGTAATTTACTTTGTTCAGCACTTTTCAGCTATTTATTCATATTTTTTGATAGAGTATTACTCTAACTATCAAAGATTTGAAGAAATAAAGCGCACAAGGAGTTAAAAAGGATAAATAATATGAATGTTAGCAAAGAAAATATAATATATATATATATATACTTTTTATTATAAATAATTAATTTTTTTTCATGAATAAATTAAACATGATTTAAGAAATTTGAGGCCCCCAAAATTGAATTTGGGGGCCTCAAGCATGGGCCTTAAAATTTGTAGGCAAGACTAGCCCTACATCTTCACAATCTCTATATATAAATTTAAAGCAATTTTGAGGTGAAATTACTCCATCTCTCTTATTTTATATGATATATTTGATTGGATATGGAGTTTTAAATGATAAATTAAACTTAAGTATAAGTCATAGATATAGTAAAAGTAATTCTTGCATCAAAACTTGAATATACAATCAAAGTAATTTGATGAATTTAAATTATTAAAAGTTAGGGAAAAGAAGTATGCACAAATTTACACCAGCAATAATATTGAGAGAAGACACAAACAAAGAAAAGTACAATGATACAAATTGCAGGCCAAAAAATAAAAAACGTACAAATTGAGCATATGATATGTTAACTCAATGCATAGAGATACCAAATTTTTTAAGAAGGTTAGGCATATTACTGAGAATTGCTAAGGTGTTACTCATGTACTCCTTAGCTTTCTGCACCCGCGCTTTCACTTCTCCAAGCAACGGTGATCCCATTTCATCCAGTCCTTCTAGACACGTGTCCTGATCAGTCATCGCAGCACTTACCCATGTCTGCATGTTCTTCACCTTCATCACCGTTAATGTACTCTCTCCGGTACCCACATTCAGCAACTCCGCCGATTGGTTGAGTTGACTCAGCGCGTCATCGAACAAACTGATGCAGTCCTTCAACGCCGACACGGTTCCTGGGTGATTGATCTTCGATATCAGTGTCTTTGGCAACGAAGAGATGTTTGTTAACTCTCTCACCGTCGCCTGAAGAGAGAGATTCAGGAATTGTTCCGGGTCGGGTTTTGGTGAGGTGCTGTTGAGGGAAGATATGGAGTCAAAGCATGACCCGGGATGCTGAGTCACTGCGCAGACGATTTTGAGCGAATCGGCTGAATTGGATAAAGGAGATGGTGTGTGGTCGTCGGAATTAGACGCGTGGATAAACGCGCCGACGAATGCGCAGATGAGTAAAGTTAGGAAGAGGGTGAGAGAGAGGGCGATGGTGAGACGGCGCTTGTGGGCGGCTCTGGGATTGGGGAAAGAAGATGGATCTTCAGAAGGGTTAACTTTGCCATAGCCTTTTACTAAGTTGATTGATTCCATAGAAATGCAATTGGGATTTGAGAGGTTTTCTGGAAAAGCTGTAAGGCGAAGACGACACGGTTTGAAGAGTTGATAAGAATTTGGGTAATGTTAACTGTTAGCACGTTCTACTCTTTTTTTCATTTTACGAGTATTTAATTTAATTTGCCGACAGACCAAAAACCAATTTGGATAAAATAATATAGATAAAATTTAAATTTGATTATTTCATCTGTTCTAAATTGTATGATAATCCTATGAGAAGATAGTAAATATTAAAACTACTGAATTCAATAGAGAATACAAAGAGTAACTATAACACATAGTACATCAAAATTGAGTAATCAGCTTATTTATTACCAAACACGTAAAAGAATACAAACCAAAAACAGCAAGAAAATAAACTGCACGCCAAAAATACAAACTGTATCCACGAATTCTCTATCCGAGAAAAGTAAAGTGACGGTACTTCTCCCCGAGCTTCGAAATGGATCTAAAGTGAAAAAGTTAATCGATGGATTAAGCATCTCAGAGATGCTGTTCATATTCACCAGAATCATTAAGCAATTGTTCGCGTTTTCTGTGTCCAATCCCTTGTCTAACTCCAACGAATACAAACATCTCGCAATTTTGGGCCTTTCAGTTTGGAGCCAATCAAGCATTTCAGATCTCATAGTCATGTTTTTCTCTTCATCGATCGCCAAATAACTGTTCAATTGACTCAGTGATTTGTTGAAATACAGATAGTTGCAGTGACTTACAGTTGACTGATCAGTAGAGGAATCGGACGATTTGAGTGAGTAACTGACTTTCTGGAGCTCGCCGATTACGGTATGAAGTGAGATGGAGAATACTTGAGATGAGTTGATTTTTGTTGATCCTAATTTTTTATTTTTGTAGAGGGAATTAGACATGTACTTAAAGCATGTCTGGTAGTGTGTAGTCGGCGAGCAAATGAATTGGATTGCCTTTTCTGGGTTATTGGCAGGTAATTCAGATTCGTAATCTCGCTTAATCATTGTTAAAACAGAGATAACGGCGACGATGATGAGAATGAAAAAGATGATTAAAGTAATGAACCACTTGGGCTGCTTTCTTCTTCTTGAGTTCGTTTGATCATTCAAATTAAGGCTAACTGATGCCTTTGAGATTTTGCTAGCAGAATCTGATTCCATGGCAGAGTAGTTTGAATGGAAATGGATTGTCTCTGGTTAGATGAAAATATTGTGTGAAAGGGAAAAAGATAATGCTAAATTGTGAGAGGCCGAAGACTGGGTCAATTCTTCCATCATGACAAGCTTTTCCACAAAGTCAAGCAGAAACTACATAGTTGACGGACTTTTTGAGAGCCAATTAGTGATTACAGATTAGTTGACTCTTTGAGAGCCAAAGTATCTTTGAGGTGGATCCGGCTGATTTAGAATTTCTTAACAAGGTTGGAAAAATAAAAATATAATGCTTGAAATTTGAGTTTGAAACTTCAAAAGTGAATATACATGGAATATTTTTAAAATATATTATATATACAGTGTAATTTTTAATCGAAAAGGTTCGAGTGAACCCTGGCTACTAACCACTCCTGGACATTGTTTACCATGACAAGATTTTTCAGAATATTTGCTTACTATAGTAATCTAGTTGTGAACATATTTTTACACAGGAACTTGTTTTCTGCAATTTGCTAATTGCCCAACCAAAATGGGAAAGGAAAATGACGAGTTTTGTAGCAACAAAATACACAACTAAATGGAGATCAATCAATACACACGTAACAAGCGGCAAAAAAGAAAAATCAAGAGCAAATACCCAAAGCAAAAAAGCCAAACATTTAGCCCATATTCAAATTCCCAAAACAAAGAGCCTAATGCTGATCCAATTCTCGGGTAAAACAGGTCGAAAATGTCGTCGATTTTATGCAATATTCCTCTGCTATTCCTCATCCTTTGCTGGGCTTCATAGCTTTTCCTTCTTATTTCCGCCCTAACCGTCGTCGACGGAATATCCTCCAGCAAATCAATGCACCTCTGTACTTGACCCATGGCCTCGCCAATCCACCGCTGTAAATCCCAAACAACTTTATTAATCGCCTGTATTTTCTCATCTGGATCGATACCCAAACTCATTTCCGATTCATTGAGTTGCTTCAGAGAGAATTTGACCATTCCTTGGCAATTTCTCAATACCCCAACACTCTTGGTGTCAATCATATGTTCCTCTGAAATTGCTTTTTCAATTGAAGAAGCGACATTCTCAAGCTCGATCCGTGAAGCATAAAGCGAAAGGATGAAGATCCGAGATAGGTTAATTTTATCTCTGTTTTTCGACCATAATAAGGAGGGGATTACGGCATCTGAAAGTGCAGCAATGGAGTCAAAACATGAGTCTGGATCATCACTGATGGCATCACAGACGTTTCGAATAGCGTCTGTTGGGTTAAACGACAGTGATTTGGACTCTGTTTCTTGTTTAAGTATTATTGAAGCAGAGATAATTGCAGCAATTATGAGACTGAAGAGAGTTACCAGACAGATTATCAATCGTAGTTTCCTTTTGGTTCTTGAAGAGGAGTTTTCATCTTGCACAAGGCTTTCTTTGTACTTTGTGCTAATTGATTCTTCCATCTGCTCACTTTTTCCCACAGTTTTGGAAAAAAATTGAAGCTAAATTCAAAGTTTGTTGCTAAGGTCAAAACTCAAAGCCAAGAAGATGCTAAGAAAGAGGAAACATCAATTTTTTATTCTTTAATTAATTAATTTTCTGATACTCAGAATCGTTTGACTTCTTTCGATTTGGCTAAACTTATAAACTAATTAAATCAACTTAATTTCGTTTTATCTGTGAGTTTAGTTGACCAAATTTCTTTTAAAAGGAGTCCTCTAACACGCACAAATTTTACACCATTATCATATCGTAGATAGGTGTAAACATGTATGTAACATATACTTATAATTACGAGAAGTTATGCGATATATTTTTCCCATCTCCCTTATAATAATCATTGAACTTGTATGAAGGGGAAAGAGATGGTGCTAATTGTGAGAGGCCCAAGACTAGGTCAATTCTTCCATCATCACAAGTTTTTCCAACAAGTGGAGCATGAACTACTTTATCACATTGTTGATTAGTTGACTCTTCACTCTTTGAGAGCCAAGTATCTTTGAGGTGGATCCACATTGTTTACCATGCAGTGGCGCAGCCAGAAATTTCATGAAAGATATCCAAACAATTCAAAAAAAAGAAGTAATCCTATAGGGATTCAATCTCGCATACTCTGCACCTAATTGCCACCGGGATACTAGCATTATATTATAGATTTTAAGCATTAAAAAATAAATAAATGTAGACACAGATTCAAATTTGGGCACTAAGTTTTGTGCAATGCCTTGCCACTGCGCTACGAGTCTCTATTGGTTTTGAGGGTGTCCAAAACAATAGTATATATATCAATATAAAGTAAGATTTGACCTACATATATAATGTAATTTTCCGACACTACCGTAACTCCACCCATGATACTAATATTTTTCACAATACTTCTAGTTGTGTGCTGTTTGCATATTTTTACACAAGAGCTGAACAAGTTGTATTTTGTTCCTTTTCAATTGAAGAACACACTCTCATTTGCACTAAAAGTCTAAAATGGGAAAGGGAAAGAAAAATCAAGAGCAAAAGAGCCAAACAGTTCGCCCATAGTCATATTCCCAAGCAAAAGAGACTAATGCTGTTCCTATTCTGGGATAAAACAGGTCCAAAATCTCATCCATATTTTGCAATATTCCTCTGTTATTCTTCATCTTTTGCTGAGCTTCATAGCTTTTCCTTCTTATTTCCGCCCCAACAAATCATAGCATCTCTGTACTTGACCCATGGCCTCACCAATCCACAGCTGCAAATCCCAAACAACTTTATTAATCGCCAATATTTTCTCATCTGGATCGATACCCAAACTCATTTCCGATTCATTGAGTGTCTTCAGAGAGAATTCAGCAAAAGAGACTAATGCTGTTCCTATTCTGGGATAAAACAGGTCCAAAATCTCATCCATATTTTGCAATATTCCTCTGTTATTCTTCATCTTTTGCTGAGCTTCATAGCTTTTCCTTCTTATTTCCGCCCCAACAAATCATAGCATCTCTGTACTTGACCCATGGCCTCACCAATCCACAGCTGCAAATCCCAAACAACTTTATTAATCGCCAATATTTTCTCATCTGGATCGATACCCAAACTCATTTCCGATTCATTGAGTTTCTTCAGAGAGAATTCAATCATTCCTTGGCAATTCCCCAACACTCTCGGGGTTAATCATGTCTACCTCTGAGATTGCTTTTTCAATTGAAGTAGCGACATTCTCAAGTTCGATTCGTGAAGCATAAAGCGAAAGGATGAAGATCTGAGATGGGTTAATTTTATCTCGAGACAGAATTTGAGCAAAGTGAAGTGTAGCAATGGTGTCGAAGCATGAGTCTGATGAGATCACAGACTGATGTAATAGCGTTCCTTGGGACTCTGTTTGTTGTTTAAGTATTATTGAAGCAGAAATGACAGCAACAATTATGGGAATGAAGAGAGCTAACAGACAGATAATCAATCGCAGTTTCCTTTTGCTTCTTGAAGAAGATTTTTTATCTTGCAGGAGCTTTTCCTTGTTACTCATTTGATTCAGCAGTTTTTTGGAATACTTTTTGAAGCTAAATTTGGAAGATATAGGAGTGAAGCCCCAAGTTATTTTTATTGCCCAAGTCAACATTAACATTCAACACATTATGTTCTTTTGTAAATTATTTTGTTCACAATTCGAATTGTTTAGTACATTATTTTTTGAGTAGATAGTAAAACACACACCTAATATAGAACTTTTTCCCGAGTTTCATACATAAATTAACTATATGTTATTCCCTTTATCTGCAGAACTATCGCTCTCTTTGTATTAAAATACATAAACTTATTATAGCTTTCAATTTCTAAACACTTTTACTATTTAATCTCTAATCTTTTGTTATATTTGTCACAAAACATAATTCCTAGTTGATCGAATTTCTTTTAGGAGGATTCCTAGGCTACTATCTGACATGCACTATATCATGTTGAAGATAGGTGTGAATATTATATATTCACGAGAAATTATATCTTATGATCAGATACTTAATATAAAATAAATTACCTTACAAAGATCTCATGATATTTTGCCAATCTCCCCTGTAATAGTTATTTAACTTGTATATGTATAATGTACATGAAGAAAATGAAAATAAAAAAAATTCCAGGGTATCTCTACTGAAAGGCAATTTTGTGGGAGGACAAATAAAGGGCAAAAAAGAGAAGAAAAGAAAATTGGGTCATTGACAGGTATAAATTTGTTCTGATGATTCAAGCTGTAAAAAGAGTTAATTCTCTCTTTTTTTCTCTTTTCATACAGATATTAAAGATTAAGCTGTACATACATCGGGAAGAATCGAATTTGAAGGCTGAAACTCATAAAGATTAGAAGAAATGACAGTGTTGCTGATATATTTACAGGAGTCTGTTCATTACAGTGACACTAATTACACCAATAAATAACCCTAAGATCAAAAGCACAAGATTTACACTCACAAAAGCTAAGAGGAAAAAGTAACAAAAAACCCAAAACTTTAAACGAGAGCTCTTACTGTTTGTAAGCTCTCATAGCCAAGCTCCCCATCCAGGAAACATATGACACAACCGATCAGCATCAATGGCGTCGTGTATGAGTTGTTGAACCTGTGAAAAAGGGGGGCGCTTATTACCTCTTTACTTTCTCTATGCAAACATAAGTTGAGAAGGGAAATTATGCAACTTAGAAGCACTGTACCGTGTCAGCCAATTCTGCAGTAGTCTTATCTATGCTAGTCATAGAACTCTACTTCCACTTGCCTGGACTAGTACTCTTTCAATATTATTTCAAGACACTGCTATTTTTATTAACTTTTCATCTCTAACTTGCATTCAGGATAAGTTTAGTTTCATTACTCAAACCTTCTATCTTCCAGAAAAATAGTGAAAATAAAGGAGTCCGATCTAAACTCATATAGCTATTGGAAAGAATCTGCTGATAAATTTTCCTTCATTCTGACTGTTGAATATTTGTTTTAGAATTGCGAAAATCTTTTTCACTGCAGTAATTTTATAAGTTGTAGTCACTCAACAAGTTAGTCCTACTATGTAAGAGTTGGATTTTATTTGTTTGTTATGCACTTCATTCTAGCTGATAGTTTGGACCATAATTATATACTTTTTCTCGTCTCATATTCTTTTCATTCTTACTATTGTGTTTATTCATTTCTGAAACCAATACTTACAGACGAGAGAAAGTAACCGAAAGTAACTAGAGTTGCCTGACCCCGAAAGCACAATTTCTGAGAAGAGTGTTAATCAAGTGTAGAGTACTTATTTGTGTAGTTGGTAGTGATCGATGCCCTCAAATTTTAATTAAACAAAGAGCAATAAGACATGTCACTGACTAGCAGGAATGGAATCAATAATCAGATCAATAATTTTAGTTAGGATAGAAACCTAGGAAATGTTTATTAGTGTGTAGTGTAGTGTGTGAATTGATGCATTGTTCCAGTTTAACAGTTACCTGTCCATGAACGCTTCTCATTTCACCTTCTTCATATCCATCTAACTTTTGTTTAACACGCATCAAGGCTCTAGCAGCATCCTTGTTCCCCTCATAGTCATCTTGTTGAGAGCCTTCCAAACTGGTTTCCAGATCATCATCAGTTTCCTATCAAGCAGAAAAAAAGTTCAATAAGTCTTCATGAATGCGAAGATGAACTTTATTATACCTTCTACAGATATCAAGCAGTTCATATATACACATATTTTAAGTATGATTTGTAAACTGAGACATGGTTACAGACTCTTCTAGTTTTAAGCTAGAAGCAAATCCTTGTCTTACTATGTAGGAGTTAGATTTTATTTGTTTGTTATGCACTTCATACAAGGATTTGCTTCTAGCTTAAAACTAGTTACCACCTATAGACAAATGGGATCGTACAAAACTGACTGTACTTTGGGACAGAGCCTAATGAGATCATGACTTGCTCATACTCCTAACTGTTCAATTAGTTTTACACCTCTGCCGAAGGCTATTGAAAGGGGTACTTTCTTCGGCATGGGGTTGTGAGGCTCGCCCCAAGAACAAAAGAGCTATAAGGCCAAAAACAGAGCATGGAGTCCACTGGCATGTGCGCCACATACTCTCTGACAAATCACAAATCTGTTCCAAACTAAAATTTTCAAATTAGAAGTGCTATCAAGGACTAACGTTAAATTTAAGCTTTAAGAAAGTTGATTTTGCCATAGATGGGCCTCGGGCCAAACTCAATACGAAAAGATAGCTCATATGAAGATTGTCCAAAACAATTTAAGGAGACAATAATCTCTTGTACCAATGTGAGTCTAACAGAAATCATGGGAGTTAATACAGGATATTCTTCACTCATATATTCTTTTCCCCTTCTCCTCTTGTCTTAGCAGCTGACATTTAGACATTTATTCATTGTTAGTGTGCCGTGTCAAATTATCAATATCCGTTCTAACACAGCAAGACTCCAGGATTGATAAATCCCATTCATTTAGGAATCACAGATGGTTT